CCGATAGCCTGAGCCAGGGGCCCTGACAACAGGTAGGTACTGGTGGTTTAAAAAAAAACATCCAGATTCAGGCACTTTATCCAATCCCCTGCGCTAGTGGGACCTCGCCCCCAGTGAACCTCCCACCCTTCCATAACCAGAGGTCAGTCCCTCGGACGGGCCAAAAAAAAGGAAGCACAATTGGTGAACGTCCAGAGGACCATAACATCAACCACAGGTAGCGTTGGGCCTCACTTTTTTTTTTCATGTTTTTCATTCTTCCGGTGGGCCTCACATTGCGATATCGTGGGAAAAACGGAAGGAAAAAAAAAAAGAACCAAAATTGGTTATAAGTTATAACTTATAAACGCTTGCATTTTCGTTTTCCTTTTTTTTCTAACTAAGGCTTATGAAGCTATATTCTTCTCTCGATACTTACGAAGCTATATTCTTCTCTCGATACTTACGAAGCTATATTCTTCTCTCGATACTTACAAAGCTATATTCTTCTCTCAATTCACCTTTCACTACCTACTTGTCCCTACTCCTAAGGCTATACAGGGGACCCCTACTTCTCACAATCAAGGGGATATCGAGTTGTGCCCCTTGGCCTAGTGGTTTAGGGTGCAGGGTTGGGGCCGCTGGTGGGGGCCCGGCTAACACAAAGAATCAAAGATCTATGATTTTTATTTATTTTTCTTTCCAATAAAGGCCGGCAGCCTTGAGGTATCATCATCGAGCTGACAAGAGCATAGTCTGACCTTGGGCACCAGGTCAATGTAATTCAAAATTGTAGTATTTCACTCATCTGCTTCCACTGGAGTTCGAACTCGGGTCTGTATTTCAACAGTTCAGGGGTGTACCAACCAACTGAGCCAGGCCAGTTGGTACACCGAGGCATTTTGCGAGTAGCTGCGCCTCCCTTTTCATCTTCGCTCACCCAGCCCCGTCGATTAACAGCAGTTTCTCTCTAAGGCCAATACTCTCCCGCACACCACACACACACACGTGTGTCCAAGGGGAGAAGTCGACTATCTGAGCTCATAGGCACCAAGCATGCACCGGACATCCTCACGACGGCACACTGTGATTCTCAATGTGACCTGCACCGTGTGGCAGAGTAGATGCGAGGCAAGTGCATGTGAACCAGCAGAATCCTGCCGTACTCCTTTCACACAGAGCAGATGCGAGGCAAGTGCATGTGAACCAGCAGCATCCTGCCGTACTCCTTTCACACTAACCCCTTTTTTAAACATAAGCAGATTAATTTTCATTCAATCAATTAATCAATCAAGCAAGTCAGCCATCCATTCATCAAATCCAATGATCAAGCGATATGTCGTTAAACAGATGTATATATCATGGTTACCAACAGGACGTCCGGATCCCGATCCAATCAGTCCGATGTCCGTTGTCCAGATCCGGTGCCCGGTTCTGAGGGTCCGGTTGGACCCCAGTTTCAAAAAATTCGAAAAAAAAAAATTGGGGTTCCCAGGAGGTTTACCTGGGCCTGGGGTACCCTGGAAAAATAATGCTGATGTTTTTTGAGAACCAATACGGTAACCCCAACCGGACATGCCCTGAAAGGGCCCTCTGTGTGATAGCATTGGCACACGAGTTTACTGCTTTGCTCTTATTTGGATGGAATCTTGGTGCATTTGAGCTCTCTGCTTGGTACATGACTATCTGGACTTCTGCGTGATTTTGCAACTTGATTTTCTGTCTATCACTCTCCCTCATATTCCTTGCATTTTTGTGATGTGGGACGAGGCTCTGGCCGATGGGAGGGATGACCAGGGATGGGAGGGCGAAGGGATGGGAGGGCAATGGATGGGAGGGCGATGAAGGATGGGGGGAGCAAGCAGGGATGGGAGGGCAATGACGCCAGACAGAGATGAGCGACATTGGAAACTGTGTTGGTGGGGCCTGAGGGCGATGACATCGGCACACGAATTCACTGCTTCGCTCTTATTTGGATGGAATCTTGGTGCATTTGAGCTTTCTGCTTGGTGTTTTTTTTCTTTTCTTTTCCCCCTGGACAACCGGACACAGACACGGCAAACCGGACTGTCTGGATCCGGATGTCTGGATGTCCGGATTGATGTCCGGTTAACCGGACGTCCGGACGTCCGGTTTGATCCAGACAGGGGTCCGCTGTCTGTGTCCGGTTGTCCGGGTCCGGGGCAACCATTGTATACATCGTCAAACAGATGTATATATCATTAAACAGAACTGCCCGGTAAACCATAGGCAGAGAGGGAGAAGAGGACAACAAACGAGGGGCTGTGACAAACTGAATCGTCAGAGTTTCACCGACTCATCAGGAGGCTGAACCCTAATATATATATATATATATCATCACAAACAGAAGTGCCCGGTAAACCGTAGGCAGAGAGAGAGAAAAGGACAACAAACGAGGGGCTGTGACAAACTGTTTCGTCGGAGTTTCACCGACTCATCAGGAGGCTGAACC